CTTCTTTAATTTTAATTATTCCCGTGACTTCAGGGTAAGTATTTCATAATGAAAGGAAATAGATAAAATCTGCTTCAGACAGGCGTGGATTTATATGAGGGCAATGCTCTGACTTTAACTATTTAGTTGTGCTGTGAGGCCTCAAACTCTTAAAGGTGTCTCACACGCACAGTTTATGCATTAATTAAACAGGTAAAGTCTCACCAACGCTCAACCGGTCAAGTACATGTCGTGGCCAAATAACTTGTCAAACCGCAAGGAGCAAAAACTTAAATATTTGCTTAGTGTGAAAACTACAGTAAAGTTTAGTGGATTGATTACTTTACAGCAAATAGGCTTATTATTAATGTATATCCCAGATGTAGGTTTATTTAACAAATATGTGTCCAGCATCGGGAATAATATGTTTAGAGGCAAATACAGTGTATTTGTTATTGTTATGAAAACGCTTAAATTTTCCTTGACTGTAAAGATATTAGTTTGCCTAAAATCTACTGGAATAATCCCCTTTGAACTAAATGGAGCATAATTTCCTTTGAAGTTATTAGGCCCTATTGGTAATTAGGCAGAAAATGTTGCTGTATTTTAAACTGGTATCAGTAACAGCTGATCTGGTCAGATTAGTTTCAGTGTGATGAAGCCATGTCAAAAGTATTTAGATTCAGTGACTTTGTTGGGTCTTTATTTTAATGGTGTGACTGTCCCAGTAAAATCCGACAAAGGAAATGTGGTTGATATTCCATATTTTATTTAATTGGAGTGGATCCAGTAAAAGTGAAGATGTGTATTATTCTAGAGTCATTCTTAGTGTCTGAAACTCATTTTTGTATATTGCATTTCTAGTTTTTATCACTAAGTTAATGTGGTAGAAACAAGACCATTGGGCTCCCTATTGAACTACTGCCCCTGTTGAGAATTTGTAAATGCTCAGGTTTATACCGGGGGGGGGGGGGGGGTGCGAGCAGGACCTCTATCTGGACCTCTATCTACATTCTTTCAAAATCATGCAGTTTTCAGCATTCTGAGTCCAAAATCGTCAAATCCCCTGGAATTTTTGAAAATATGAACCAAAAGTTGGCTACTGGCCTGATGCTGCATATAAAATCTGAAGACTGCTCAGATTTGAACATATTTAAGGACAACTCAGTTACAAGCTTGACAAATCCTCATGTTTTTCTGCCTTGTGTAAGGGATTAAAAAATAGGGATAATTTGGCTGAAAAATTGGGATATTTTAACTGACACATTGGGATACTTTTACTAGTTCTGGAGATTTTCTTAATCAGAGAACATAAACCTAGAAATCTGTATCATGTTGGTGTTAAGACCAGCCTCATTGCATTGATACATTTACGCTTGTGATGAATCTCGTTTATGAAAAATGTAATTTGTAGAACATTTCATAGCCAGACCTCGAGATATGGAAGAGACAATCTATAGTTTAAATGGTTTTGTATGGAATTACACGATCGAAGCATTAAAGCCCATCCTAGAATGTATCAAGAGATAAAACTTGTGTTTTTTGAAATAAAGCCTGATAAAAATTGATCTGAAGGAGGATGTTATACCCACCTAAGTTTGAACCCTGTAAACATTTCCAGCATGTCATTGAAATATTCTTTATCATTGTGGTTAGAAACCATGAACATGTATATTGCTTTTTAAAGTCCCTGTTATTTAGAAAAGGCCATAAACAAGCAGGTATCTAGATTAGGCAGAATACAATATATTCAGTATGTTTGGAATAGCATGGTAAACCAAGGCAAACAATATCATCTTACTAATGGTGAGTTGTTTTAACTTTGAGTCAACAGGTCCAATAACGTTTTTTATTTTTTATAATTTTATGTTGTTTATGTTCTGAGATTCTGATGGTTCATTGTGTTTTATGTTAGTTTCTTTTATTTTGATGTATGAAGTGTTGAAAACTATGATCAGGTGATATTTTTATGTTAGGTTGAACATCTCTGGCAGTTCAATGTAAATTCTTCCATTCAACAGTAACCGATTTATTTTGGTGTCTGACGCAGATGTATTTCCTTCCAGTTAATATTCCATACCCAAAATTTCCTATTTTGTTCATAAAATGTAAAAAATTTCTAGACTTGAGTCTTTTTGCATGATTCATAATTCTTCTTTGTCATTTCTCTAAATGCACAGTGTACCATACCAGTTTCCTTGTTTTTTCTTGGGAGATAACGCAACATATTTTTGAGATGTTTTTAAGGGGTCCCCTATCTTCAGTGTTTTTCTCTTTGGAGAGTAAACCTAATAATAAATGTTGGACGTTCATCTTTTTCTATCTTTACCGAAATAAGTGCATCTTTCATTCATGCTATTTCTCAATTTAGAGAAACAAGATATAAAAGTTATGAAACCAGTGGATTGCTCTTATTTTACTTATGTTCTCTTTTCAAATGATTTCTTTCATTCTAAGAATTAAAAATATGGATTAGGCAGTTTTCACCATCTCATTCACTCAATTTCCAAAAAGTAAGAATACATGATACAGGTATATTTATCTAATGAATTTCAGTATGGCCATAGAAATTCCTGCATTTTTGAGTCCATCTTTACAAAATGCTTGAGAGTGATTCTTAGGGATACTCCAGGCTTTAGACCCCACAATCATAACGATAAACGATGACATCTCATATCTTCTCAGCCGTGTTATGCCATGATATTATCATGGGGAGGAATTCTCCAATCCAAGATTGTCTGTAAAACAGAAAGATGCCACCAGTATCAGAATGCTCCATCAGTGATCTCCCCAGCGGGTGTAGCACCCACCTGAGATTTTAAAAATAGGCTTGCACCCACCTGAAATTCCATTTGCACCCACTTGAAAATGAGAAAAATCATGAAAAATGGGCATATTTTGACCAATTTTGGTCTGAATTGTGAAAATGAGAATTTTTCACCCACTTGAGAAAAAATCCTTTGGAGATCACTGTCTATGATAGATTTCTTGCAGGATTTATATGAGTTCAAGAAATCAATGTTTGTGCTTACCAAGTAGAATCTATTTTAATTTTGCAACCTGGCTAATTCTTTATTTCCAGTATACAATATGTTTTCCTTTGTTATTTTGAAATACATATATTTTCAAAAATCTTCTAATTGAAATAACAAATATTCTTATGTGGCAAATTTGCGAGATTGATCAATATCAAATTATACCAGCTTACAGTCTACTGTACAGTAAAACCTGTTTAAGTGGAACACCTTTGTTACCTCCAAAAGGTGTTCCAATTGGGAGGTGTTCCACTTACAAAATGTGTTCCACCAACAGAGGTGTTCTACTTCTATAGGTGTTATACTCTTAACAGGTTCCACTATATACAGTAAAATTTGCCAAGTGAATGCTATTGGTATTAGCTTATGTACGTCATGTTCAGAGTTGCTCTCAAATCTCATAACATTGAATGATTGTGATATACAGAATTGTGATTAAAAGGTAATCATATCGTTTATGAAATGTGTATGTATCAGAGACGTACATGTATTAACATGTTTTTATATACCTCAAATAGCAAAAATTTTCTGCAATTCTCTCAAAAAATTTCAAATAACCATTTTGTTGAAGTCACAAGGGCCATATGCATTTAACCTCTTGAATCCCAGACTCTAAAATCGGTTGAAACCAGAGAATTTTTCATTTTTGCCACCTTTTGACATTTTACTATATACGTATAGAATTTTAGATGCTCAACTTAGTAAAACTAGTCGGCAGAGATAATTTCTACACATTTTAAAACAATTTTTGTGTAAATTGGTCGAAAATTGTTCAAATAAGAGCAATTTTAGTGAAAAAATTGTGACGGATTTTCTCGTCACTCTGGGTTTCAAGGTCATTTCTGAGGTGACGAGAAATCTCGTCAGTCCAGGTAGTCAAGAGGTTAACTGTTCAATATTAAGAACTCATTTTTGTGATATTTCTCTCACATTTAGACCAATACTAAAAGTTATCCATATAGCAGTTTGCATTGAGTTTATGTTGATGTGGCATTAATTGGCCTTCTGGACTTATTTACGATTAAAATAATAGTTATCATTGGGACCTGGATGATAGTGAAAATTGTATATGGTCTTGAATAAGTATGCCATTTGTATGAAAAACTGCTTTCTCTTAGTAAGTAGGCCCGGAGCCAGCTTTTGCCAATTTGGGGAGAAGAGGAAATTTACTTTTTGAAACATCACATGGGGTTTTAAATTACATTGGACAACTTTGGACCAAAGTCATTTGAAAAGTGCTCAGCATGGTGAAAAATTGTGAGGTGTTCCACCTAGAGAAGTGTTCCACGTGTTAAAAATCTGTTCCACTTGTGAGTCTAATAGAGAGGTGTTCCACTTAGCACTTTCTGCTATATGTAAAAGATTCCAATAAGCTCATTTTTAAACTTAAAATAAAAATCATAGAAATCTAATTCAGTCCATGTAGATACATTTTACTCACTCATTTTACATGTTTAAAACATGAGTTGAAAAAATCTCATTTGTATTTCGATAATCTTTTAAAAGTACATTACATAAATAAATAAAAGTACATTACATAAATAAATTATAAGTTGGTTTAAAATGAGCTTGTAGAATCTCAAATGGTACTAAATATCAATATAAATCACACAGCAATTGGGGACGTACAACTTAAGCATAACTGAACAAAATAGCAATAAAATATCATTCATGTTTTTTCTAATATACTGGGACTATAATTGGTTTACAAAATGATACTATCAATTCCCAACTGCATTTAATTGATAGTCTCATGAGGAATCTGAGAACAGCACAGGAAGTTCATATATGAATCGTGATAAATAACATATTCTATCTTGATCTATGTCATTAAGTGCAGTATAATGAACTGAAATATGAAGTTAAGTTTCTATAAATATGTGAGATAACGTCAATTTAATCCCGATGTTACTCAAAACATTCACGATTTTTCGCAAGCTGACATTGACTTTCAAACATTTATCTTTTCTCGGTTTATATTTTCAGATTGTTGCTGTAGCTGAATGGCTAAAAAGATTCTTGAACCACTGTGAAATGATTAGTCAAAAAGTCTTGAAGTGCATTGGAATATAGCTTACCATGGTCTTGGAGCTATTACTGTATACTGAAAAAACGTAGGAACGCCTTTATCAGTTTATACAAGAAAAACACATTGGAAAAGATATACCAGAACATGTATAGAAACCACCCATCCTTCAAGTTAACGTGGAACATTTTTAAACCAATTTGGATTAGAGATATCTTTTGTATGTGGCTACCCAGAAATATTGGATTTCCGAGAGTTATCAAAAGTTTGAAGTAAGTAGGCTAGCTATAAGGGATATATTTATAAGTGCATGCAAAGAAGGAACAATATCATAGTGGAAGTCTATAGCGCTTATTCAAGATACTTTAAAGTGGATGATTTTTGAGTGTTTTTGAAAACCTTGATTTTGAGTACAATGAAAACAGTGGAGTTCTTCATATAATATAATCAGTTACAAATTGTAACTGAAGAGGTTTACTGCAGACTTTCAGTCGCTCATGTGCATACAATTGAAAACTTCAAACTTCACCTGGATTATTATAGAATTTACAGTTTTAGCACTGGAGCTGATCACTAATGTACATATAGGATCATATATTCGCTGTCTTAATTGACAAACTTGTGGTAGGGCTTTCAGGTCATATTTGTATAGCATTATAGTCCTATATACTGATAGCCTGATAGTGCTAGTACATAACCTGGGCCACTCAACACCATAATACATGTAGCTTCATTTTATCTCAATTAACTCTTGGTAGCTGCAAACAATCAACAAAATCTGAATAGATCAGGGCTTAACCTGGAGGGTTAAAGGCTGAATTCTTGAGTGAAGAATATTTGTACATTTCTGAGGAATTATCATGGCTACATGCCAGCTCTGCTGAGAGAATGCTGAAATTGATGGCTGGTGGAACAGTTCAATACAACAAGCCCGTCTGTCTGTAGATTCTAAAGGAAAGAAGTTAGGGAAATTATATAAGACTCTATGAAGCACCAGATTAGCTAACATAATCCTGTGTTAATTATACCTAATTACTACATAGAGAATGTTTACATAGGATGAACATATAAACTCTGGATTATAAACCAATGGATTAGTACTTACATCATAATCTTTTAAAAAATCTGATCCTTTTTTTCTGTTCAATCCAACGTTTAATTTAAATCACCTGGGATGACGGGTTGAGATTGAAGGTACATCTGCACAAAGATCATCAGCTCTCAGAAAAGTAGAAGTTTCATGGATAATTAACAGGGCTTGAAGTACAACTAGACGTTCAAAAACAACTGCGAACCATTCGTTTGTGGAGTGATTATTAAGGCTCTTTACATGAACAGTAAAGATGAAACCTATTGCAATGTACTGGTAGGATATTAACGGTTGAAAAATGACGACTACAGAAACTAAATGTGACTCCCCAAGTTTTGTACGGAGGCCAAAACTGCCTTCATTCAACCTTGAGCCTAAAACCAAAGATGATGGAGCATTTGATGATTATATGGGGGTGCTTAAAACTGATTGGTCAAAATATATTTCAAGAACTCGACGTACAAGTTCTTCTACATCTAGCCCAGCTGCGACCCCCAAAAGTCTGGTTTCACCCCCCTCTTTCAGGTCCCCACCCCATGAGGGATCACGCCCTGAGCATGCCATTCGCAGGATCCACAGTTTGAAGATCTTAACGGGAGCCTTAGATCGTAGTAGGCCAAGGGTTCTTCGGGAGAAATATAGTCCAGATTTTGACATACCATCTTCTGCTTCTATAGCTACTTCTATAGCTAACACTGTAGACTCACCTTTAAACAGAGGAGAAACGTTGAAATCTGAGCCAGGCTCTACTAATTTAAACCCTAACAGCACACCTGGAAATAGCAGCTATGAATCTACTCAATGTAAACCTTCAGCCATTGAAAACACACTTAAAATCTTCTCTCAGGAACATAACAACGCAGAGCAGCTCAGATTTGGTGGAAATGGGAGTGGTAATCGTGAGGTAACATCGGAGACAATGTTTCACATGTTAACAAAGCCAGGGGGAATCATTTCCCATAGGCGGTCAAATAGAAAATCTGACCCAACTTCAGCAGCTAGTAAACTGGATAGAAAATCTAAAGATGAAGCTAGTACAAGTAAAGATGCAATCGGTATCGCAAGCCGAGGAGTAAAAGGAGATAAATCAGACAATGTTACAGGTGATGATGATGAGGGAGTAGGTGTCTCTACTGGGGATCTCCACCCTAGCTTTAATACAGTCTACACCAGTGATACACAGTCATCTAGTCCCTCTGCCACCACTATAACAAGGACTACCGGTATGCGACATACTCCTGATGTCACAAAAAGCTCTTTAAAAACATCATACTCTAAATCCCCTGATAGAAAAATTGGTAAAGTGGAAACTGTAAAATTTGTCCCAGATTCTGAACATGTATTAATCTCTCCACGGTCGTCAGTGAAACGTCAACAGCGTGCTACGGATATCACTAATAGCCAAACTGGAAAAATGGCGAATGGACGATTTTATACTCACCCACCATCTTGTAAAAGTGCCGTCATGGAAGATGGATCAATTGATAGTAATGGCTTTGGAACAATTAATTCACCAGAGGGCGCTTCTTGTGGCCCTGGCAATCTTGAGCCACAGGGTAGTGAGATGTCCCTGGCGGATAGTCATCTCTGTCCTAGTGAAGGATCTGATGTGTTATCATATGGCGATGTAATGCAATCTGTCACTCATGTCGGACATGAGAAACTTGAACGCAAAAATAGCAAAACTCAAAAACAGAAATCAAAAAGTGACCCTAGTGGCGAGAAACAGAAAAAGGATTATGGTATACGGGGTAAGTTGATAATCGCTGGACAAAGCACACCATTGTTGTCTGATGAACAGAGAGACAGGGTATCTGACCTGCCAGAGTTCAGACACATTAAGGATGACAGCAAACCAAGGTCAATGTCAGACAATGTACTCTCAAGTGAACAGGCAGCAATATCTGAATCGGGATCAGAGTCGAGTGTTATGTCTGTATCCGACTCAACTGCTAGTAGTCTACAGAGTAGCACCGAGGTCATAGCTAGTGGTTCCCCTTTAGCATCACTCGATAGACTCTCACAGAAAAAGCGCCCAAGGGGACCCAGTGGGGAGTTTATAGAACAAGAAGAAAAGCGAGGAGATAAACTATTAAAATGTATTGGGAGTGATAGTGTCCACTCTGGCCACGCCCAAACTCTCCCTCGGTCAATCACAGCCCCGGGGATACCCCTTGACGAAGCCCAGGATAAAGCAGGACAGTTGCTGACGATCCCAGGAGTTAAGCAGGATATACGCCGGAGTGTTTCATCAGCGAGTGTCTACGCTACAAGACGAGAACGCCATCTAGAGGCACATAAGGTAAGCCAATTAGCCGATCCTCCCCGTAAAACTAGCCTATCAATAAGTGATGCTTATTATCCTCATCACCAGTATGGGATGTCACCATCTGGCTCTGGGGGTTCGTCACCTGATCTACCACCTCGAAGAAGCGGTAGTCCATCGAACAGTAGCACCCACAGTAACACCCCACCCTCGCCCCGCAGGGGGGTCCACCTCACCACAATCATCCCTCTCTCTCAGAGTCAAATCAGTCTGAATGAAGCCGATATATCTGGAGATGGGGAGCCTGAACTGCCCTGTAAAGCCAAACCAAATAAGGTAAGCACACAATTTCATGTGTTATTTAACGCCTGATTAAAACCTTACAAGCGAGATTTCAAGTTTGTTTGCATCACCACTTGTCTGTCTATTTGTGGATCATGATGATCCTCGAAGCAGAGTACAAAGTGGAATAAAAAAAACTTGAAATTCTGACTCAAAAGGGACTCTAACACACCCATTGTTTCAATCCCACAATTCTTTAAACATTATCAATGAATTGTGGGATTGGAATAGCTGCTATTGTTAATACACATGCATGGCTTCATAACGGCATATAGCACATAAGGGCACTCAGTTTGGTAAATTCTTACCCAAATGTGAGTGCCTTTAACTGACTAGTTTAATGCTCTAACATGTCTGCATATTGACAAGTACTCAATGGGTTGAAGTGTACATCATACAGGCCTATAAAACGTATGAGTTCATGATCTACAATGGCTAATACCCTAAAGTTGAAAAAGCTCAAATTTTAGTAAAAATATAAATATTTCGTTTTTTGAACTATATTTTTCATAAAAAGTTATTGACTATGAGGGATGATTTTGTTAATCGCAAAATTCATATGATTTTAACTATTTTTTTTATAATATTATATATATTTTTATTTTATATCTTGTAGGTCATTTCTGATATAAACGAAAAAATCATGAACTCATAAGTCTGTTATATAACACTAATAAATTGTGATGCTTATACCTATTACATGGGCCACAACCAGTCATATGTTTTAAAGATTTTGTTTTATAAATATTCAACAAAAATACAACTGAACATCAAAATTTATAATGAAATACAAGCCCTTTAAAGTTAAGTATTTTATCTGTTTAATTTTTTAACACGATTTTTACAGAAAACATAGCAGCAATATTACGACATCATGTACATAAAAGTGCAGAAATCTGTTTACATTGTTTTTTGAATGTAAGATTCAGAAACCTGGTTAAGGCCCATGTTAGTAACTAGAGTAATCCTCTGACATTTACAGAGATGTTTATATAACAACCATTGCCAGATATCATGAAGGCTTTCTAAGACCAACTCCACATCTGAAGCTCTTATGTATAGATAGACTTCTGGGTCTACTGTTCTTTGGATTACAGCCATTCAACAACCTTATAACAATTACCCTTGCATATTATATCATTACGCTTTCATTATATAACTGAGCTAGGGGTGGGGTTACAGTCAGTCTGAAGCTCTCATGTATAGATAGACTTCTGGGTCTACTGTTCTTTGGATTACAGCCATTCAACAACCTTATAACAATTACCCTTGCATATTATATCATTACGCTTTCATTATATAACTGAGCTAGGGGTGGGGGTACAGTCAGTCTGAAGCTCTCATGTATAGATAGACTTCTGGGTCTACTGTTCTTTGGATTACAGCCATTCAACAACCTTACAACAATTACCCTTGCATATTATTTTATTACGCTTTCACTATGTTATTGAGCTATAGGGGTGGGGCTACAGTCAGTCTGAAGCTCTCATGTATAGATAGACTTCTGGGTCTACTGTTCTTTGGATCACAGCCATTCAACAACCTTATAACAATTACCCTTGCATATTATTTTATTACGCTTTCACTATGTTATTGAGCTAGGGGTGGGGCTACAGTCAGTCTGAAGCTAAAGATAGACTTCTGGGTCTACTGTTCTTTGGATTACAGCCATTCAACAACCTTATAACAATTACCCTTGCATATTATTTTATAACGCTTTCACTATGTTATTGAGCTAGGGGTGGGGCTACAGTCAATCTGAAGCTCTCATGTATAGATAGACTTCTGGATTTACTGTTCTTTGGATTACAGCCATTCAACAACCATATAACAATTACCCTTGCATATTATATGTTATTACGCTTTCACTATGTTATTGAACTAGGGGTGGGGCTACAGTCAGTCTGAAGCTCTCATGTATAGATAGACTTCTGGGTCTACTGTTCTTTGGATTACAGCCATTCAACAACCTTATAACAATTACCCTTGCATATTATGTGTTATTACGCTTTCACTATGTTATTGAGCTAGGGGTGGGGGTACAGTCAGTCTGAAGCTCTCATGTATAGATAGACTTCTGGGTCTACTGTTCTTTGGATCACAGCCATTCAACAACCTATAACAATTACCCTTGCATCTTATGTTATTACGCTCTCATTATGTTACTGAACTGGGGGTTGGGCTACACTCAGCCAATACCATTACAATTTCCAGTAAAACACAGTTAACTAAGTTCCTGTATTATACTAAGCCATGGGATGGAGAGGGGGGGGGGTACTTAAAAGGGTGGAGCCATTCTGATATTTTAATAGGGTTTGAATCATTCTATTGGATTTCATGTGTCAGTATGAGAGGAAGTAATAAACATGGAGTCTGCAATTGAGAACTGCTTATATAATCTTGTACATTTCAGACTCTGATATAATACAGATACTGATAACATGTATATTACGGATACTTGTACAATACAGATACCGATGACATGTATATTACAGATACTTGTACAATACAGATACTGATAACATGTATATTACGGATACTTGTACAATACAGATACCGATGACATGTATATTACAGATACTTGTACAATATAGATACTGATGACATGTATATTACAGATACTTGTACAATACAGATACTGATGACATGTATATTACAGATACTTGTACAATACAGATACTGATGACATGTATATTACAGATACTTGTACAATACAGATACTGATGACATGTATATTACAGATACTTGTACAATACAGATACTGATGACATGTATATTACGGATAATTGTACAATACAGATACTGATGACATGTATATTACAGATACTTGTACAATACAGATACTGATGACATGTATATTACAGATACTTGTACAATACAGATACTGATGACATGTATATTACAGATACTTGTACAATACAGATACTTGTACAATACAGATACTGATGACATGTACATTACAGAAACTTGTACAATAAAGATACTTCTATTGTACAGATTCATATACTGATTTTATATATACAATACAGACACTGATATAACATCGATATATGTACAATACATACATTGGTATAATGCACACACTGATATAATATACACGATATAACTGATAATATACACACAATGATATAACTTTTTTTTCTTTCCTTTTTATTAATAATACATTTATAATATAAAACTGAAGTTGATATAACTGTTAATATATACTCACTGATGATATAGTACACACATTGATATAACTGATGATAATATACACACACTAATATAATGCACACATAGATTGTCTGATGATATTCACTCACTGATATAATACACACATTGATATAGCTGATGATAATATACACATACTAATATAATGCACACATAGATTGTCTGATGATATTCACTCACTGATGATATAGTACACACATTGATATAACTGATGGTAATATACACACACTAATATAATGCACACATAGATTGTCTGATGATATTCACTCACTGATATAATACACACATTGATATAACTGATCATAATATACACACACTAATATAATGCACACATAGATTGTCTGATGATATTCACTCACTGGTATAATACACACATTGATATAACTGATGATAATATACATACACTAATATAATGCACACATAGATTGTCTGATGATATTCACTCACTGGTATAATACACACATTGATATAACTGATGGTAATATACACACACTAATATAATGCACACATAGATTGTCTGATGATATTCACTCACTGATATAATACACACATTGATATAACTGATGATAATATACACACACTAATATAATGCACACATAGATTGTCTGATGATATTCACTCACTGGTATAATACACACATTGATATAACTGATCATAATATACACACACTAATATAATGCACACATAGATTGTCTGATGATATTCACTCACTGGTATAATACACACATTGATATAACTGATCATAATATACACACACTAATATAATGCACACATAGATTGTCTGATGATATTCACTCACTGATATAATACACACATTGATATAACTGATGATAATATACACACACTAATATAATGCACACATAGATTGTCTGATGATATTCAATATGACTGCTGACCTATACCGGCGATTACTAGAGTGCTGCTAACTCGATAAAAGGCTGGTGCTGGCTAGAATTGTCTATGGTTCTAGCCAGGATAAAGATACCAGTTCTTCAACTCGACAATGGGAAGAACTGCTCTACCTTAGTGACTAATATGTCATGATATGACATCTAAAGAGTCAATAAAAGATATATATAATACACACATTGATATAACTGATGATAATATACACACACTAATATAATGCACACATAGATTGTCTGATGATATTCACTCACTGATATAATACACACATTGATATAACTGATCATAATATACACACACTAATATAATGCACACATAGATTGTCTGATGATATTCACTCACTGATATAATACACACATTGATATAACTGATGATAATATACACACACTAATATAATGCACACATAGATTGTCTGATGATATTCACTCACTGATATAATACACACATTGATATAACTGATGATAATATACACACACTAATATAATGCACACATAGATTGTCTGATGATATTCACTCACTGATATAATACACACGTTGATATAACTGATCATAATATACACACACTAATATAATGCACACATAGATTGTCTGATGATATTCACTCACTGATATAATACACACATTGATATAACTGATCATAATATACACACACTAATATAATGCACACATAGATTGTCTGATGATATTCACTCACTGATATAATACACACATGGAAAGAACCATTCACGCTCACTGATACAATACACACATTGATATACCTGATATTATACACACACTGATATAATACAGATACATCTATTGATATTATATTATTATAACTTGTATGGTGTATTGATGTGAATGTGAAATATCTGGTGGTGTAAAAGTTGAAAATTGTGAAGGAAAAAGTAATGATGGATGAAGTTAACATAACAAAATATGATTTGCTGTATTATAAGTGAATACCTGTTGAACCATAAGGTGTTCATTGCAGATAGGTGTTCACTACTGAACAGAGAGGGATGTGTGCTTACTAAGATTGGTTTTATTGTAGACAATATCATTTGTTTTAGGGTAGTTAGCATCAGGTTGGGCTATTCACTCACCCAGGTCACTCATATTTTACTTTGAAGTCATATTATTTAGTATTACTAGAATATTGCCACTGTTCCGCTTGGGTGCTTTCTCAACTTCTCTACTCTTACTACAATATCAATTTTCTTCAAAATATCATGGATTTTCATGATTTCCAAGTTTTCGAATGAACTTCAAATTTATTAGACTTGGCATTTTAAAAGTTTGCTTAACCCCCTCCCCCTATCGACTTCACCATGTGTGTTGTTGTTGGTGAAGGTAAAGTACATAGGAGGTGGGGGGGGGGGTACACAGTCTTGAAGCAAGACTATTTAAACTTCAGAACTAACTAAGCCAACTGGATTTTTTGTCGCCAGAAAGAAGATTTTCTCTCTATATATAGTAATTACCCAGTATTGACCAACATTACAACATTATTTAACGTGTTTATCTCTGATCGCTGATTGTTTGAGAAAATGTCAGCGTATTTAGTTTGAATTGATTTATGACCCAGACTGTGACAGCCACCGGCAGTGGGGGTCGGGTCGCTGAACTGTAGAATTGTCTTAACTATTCTGAGGTTACTTAAGAACTAAGCAGGTCTGCTGTCAGGGTAGTTAAAACTCTGAACTGTGAAATGGGGTATCTTGTATTTCCAAGTTATGATGTTTTAAACTTTCCATATGATTAGAAACCAAACTGGTGAGTTTGCAAAATCATGTTCCAAGATAAGTCGTAAGGAGACCTTGAAAAATACATCTCAAGTTATAAACTGTACTTCTAGTTAATTTGGCGCTACTTATTTTGGCGGATTTGCTGTTTTGAACATTTGTTGGCTACTTAACTTGGTGAACTTGCAATATTATAATGTCCTAATGGTACCAATTTTCATGGAAATAAAGGAGTGGTATCGATATGGTGAACCTTTTGAACACACGTTCAAAGGTGTTCTACTTTTTTTTCTTTTTTTTCTTAAGAAATATTTATTGCTTCATAAAAATATCATAATATAAATCCCTTCAGTCGCCCGAAGGCATTATAGAAGGGTAAATGGTGGAATGTTGTTGTATAGTCAAGTAAAACATTGTTTAGCTTTCTGTTATTAAAAGGAAGATTCACAGATTTAGAGCAATTAATTTATGAACAACAGTGGTATTGGTATTGGTATTTTGGAAAGAAGTCTGTCTCAATTGGAGTTCAAGCTCTAGACAATTATTGATATGGTTCCTATCCATTAATCATGTAAATTCTAATATTCCAGAACCAATATACCATAGAGCATTGGAAACCCAATGAGAGAATTCAAATTATGAGTTTGCGCAACAGATCGCCCCAAGACAGAGATAAACCAACCCCATGCCTAGAAATATTCAGTCTTTAGTTGATAATTTATGATATCTCGTTTGAAACAGTGCAAGAAAACAATACATTCTTCGATCTATTTTTAGGAAGATGTATATATAAACCAAAGAACAAAATGTCTATAAATAAGTTTTTCGCCCACTCAGCTGAATTCTATACTAAATGAAACTACTAAAAATAAAATTGCTAATGATTTCTATAAACAATCTTAATTTTCACTTGGAATTTTAACCTAAGGTATGGGAATAGTTGCAGAGGTGTAGACCACGTAATGAACATTCTTTAATTGGTATGGAGATTTCCAAGGCTTTTGAATTGGGATACTTTGACCTTTCTACTGGAATTATGTGGCCTTGGTATAAGGATTGTAGGGCCTTGGTATAAGGATTCTGTGGTGTTGCTATAGTGATTGTATGGTTTTGCAGGCCTTATAATCAGGAGTTGTGTTGTCTTAGAATGGGTATTGTTAGGCCTTAGTATGGGAAATCTTTTGGATTGGTATTGAGATTGTAAAACCTTTGAATGGGAATTCTGTGGCATTTATATAGGGATTCTAAGACCTTGGTATACTAATTCTTTTAGATTGGTATCTAGATTGTTATCATTCTAGGGCCTTGCTGTTAGAATTCTATGACCTTCTATTCTATATTCCTTGTAAAGGACTTCTATGAGTTTGAATTCTAGGGCCTTTTGATACAAGAAAATGATTTTTACGCTGGTATAGGGATTAAGGGGAATTAGTATGAGAACCCAGCAGGAATATATAGGAAAAATGATGGAATTTATATAAAAGATATTATAGGATTCACTTGTATATTGTTCATGTATTCACATGGTAAGGCTGATATAGTTAAATCCCAACTTTCTCTCATGTCGCCTTGACATATGGCAGCAAATTGGTAGCCAACAATACATCATAAACCATACATTGATAAATATTTAGACATATGGAATACCATTAGCAATATAGGAATGAGTGCAAAAAGAATATGATATCACAATATCAACTTCATAAATTGAACATGTGCATTATATTACACTTGGAGTTAAATTGCAAAATTATGAGTTGCAGTTGGACAAGTCTTAGTGAACAATTCAACTCTGGAGGGGAGGGTATCAGAGGTCCATGAATTTAGTTTACCAATATTTTCAGACACCTTTATACCTCAACTGGGAAATTCTTATTATATCTTATCTTAATAAACCTACTTTTATCATATATTCTAGACAAAAGTAGGTACCTCAAAGGATATTATTTCCTCTTAATAATCTGGGGGTCATTAACAGAAACTTCATAAAGTTACAAATTCGTAAATCAATTGTTGTTACCATGGATATAATGAAGTCACAGTTAGAGAACAATGGACTTCACGAATTCTTAACTTTATGAAGTTTCTGTTAATGGCCCCCTGTACATTAATAAAGTGCAATATATATTAAAATAGAAATAAAGCAAATTAAGTAAAGTCTTGCCAAATTTTATTGGGGTGAAATATTAGATCAATTAGTTCGCTTTATGTACAAGAAAGGTATTTGAGGTCGGTCTATCCAACAGCCCCCACAATTGAACTCAAAGATCTTGTTGGTACACAGGTGCCTCACAAAGATCTGCAAGTGAAGTATTTTATTAAAAATAACATAATCATTCTGTTACATGATCAGATAACTGAGGTTTTGTTTTGGAATAAATTATGGTGTTGACAAGGAAAACACAGAAAAAACAAACTAAACCTTTATCAAAATGTGCCTCACGCTGATAGGTAACAAAAAATAAAGTCCATTGGCCTTATGTTGTTTAGCCTTTAGTGTACTTACAGTGAAAATTTTCCATCCATCTGTGCCAGAAACATGTTCCACTTGAACATAATCTACCGGGTCATCATTCAGTGACATGAGTGGGCCGTACCTATCCCATCTAAAATGAACATTATTTATTGATATTTGTAAAATTTTGTTTTTGTATCGGTGATTTTATGCTTATACTTTGTCTCATTAGCCAATAATTATCTGAACACAAGCAGTTTTGTATGGATATAGCAAAGTCTTTGCCACTTTGTCCGTTATCTGGTCTTTTGAAATAATAGAATACAATTCTTCATTGTATTGTGTATTGTTAGGTATATGTTTAATAAATAGTATGGTTTTGTGTGAAAACAAAAATGGCGATTACTTTAAACACAATGGCAATAAGAACACTAGAAAGTTTCTGCAATATTTTAATTGTGTTTATTGTAAAACATATCTGCTTAACATATATATTATATAAACCTTGGAAACATCTTACAACAGATTCAAAAATCTTAGTAAGCACTATTTTGCACAAATGTATAAAATCAGGAATATTTAAGAATAGTGGTTTTTTGTTTGTTGGGATTTGCTACTCTTGACTCACTGCTTTCTCCTCCGATCATATCCTGGATTGTTCAAAATCTCATAGTCTGTCCACTCCCCTCCAGCGTATATTCTTATCTTGAACTCATCATTTGTGTTCGAATATCGATCATTTGAAGTTAGCGTGGTGACCTCATATCCGCTGTGTTCACTACATACAGCCAACGACGGTTTAAAAATAATTCCACCTCTGCCTGTTGGAGGCTTAGGTGCTATGTCACTAGTCTCAGTTTCATCAGCTTCTGGAAAGAGTTTATGCAAAGTAGAGGCAAAGGACGATTCTCGGTTTGGAGAACGAAGTTCATCAATCTAAATGAGCATTATCCCTGCTTCGGACAAATTTGATTTTTTTACATAATATATATTTGAATGTCTTCTTTTGAATAGTCATAATTTAATTTGGGTAATATTTCTAGATTTTTCGCAAAAAATATTAGCGCAGTACACTGATGAACTTCTTTCCCCATATCGAGACTTGTATTTTATTGAATCGGTCTATTTGAGCATTATCCCTGCTTTAGACCAATTTGTTATTTTTACATCTTGTAGATTTAAATGTCCTCATTTGAATATTCATAGTTTAATTTGGGTAATATTTCTATATTTTTCAGGAAAATTTTTTTAGCCCAGGAGGCTGTTCTCCAAACCGAGAATCGTCCTTTTGAACAAATTGATAATGGTACCTGTTACACAGGAAGGTTAAATTGCTGATGCATTTTGACATTTTGAGTTTAAGCATATATAGTAGAGGTAATTATCCCATCAAACGAAGTTTGGAGGGATATAGGGAACTCCTCTATCCATCCGTCCGTACGAACGTCAGTATGTACGTCCCTCCGGCCAATAACTCAAATACCGTTGACTCGATTTTGTTTGTATTTGGTATGTGAATACTAAAAGCATGGCACACTGTCTAGTAACACTTTTGGTAGAAGGCGGCCATTTTGAAAAATGGCCACCATTTTAACATATTTTACTATAATTTGAAAAGTAGTTCAGCAATTTTGTTCATTTTTGGTATGTGAATACTATAAGCATGGCACACTGTCTAATGACACTTTTGGTAGAAGGTGGCCATTTCGAAAAATGGCTGCCATCTTTGCTATATACTTTGCTTGTAAATATGCCAGCCATGGCTGTTCAATGGGATTTGCTATGCTTTGACGTTGCTGTTGTCTAGTTTGAAAATTTTGAACTAATAGAAAACAATGTTCCTTTAAATTAAATTTTTTTGTTAATTTAAATGATGATACGTACCATTGTGTTTTGGAAATATATTCTCAAATACAACTTCTTTGGTTGTAGGTCCTGTTGTTGTAGGTGTTGGTTTGGTATAAGGTCCTGTTGTTGTATTTGTTGTATTTGATGTTGTTGTTGTTGTTTGACATTTTTTCTTTGATGTCCGTATTTTGCATTTTCCTCTCTTACACTTACAACTGAGACATCCATCATCAGATTTCCAAGTTTTTCCTGGTGCAACTTTCTCTCCATCAACTGTACAGTCTCTAGCTCCTGTGAATATAATCACTTTATCGTATTCTATTGTAAACAGCATATCCCAAAAAACGAATGCATTTCATTATCTGATGTTATATTCATTATTTCATGTTGTATACATTTACTAATTTGTTTTTTCTAAACTTTCTTTTTTGTCCAATCAGAAGGAGATAAAACTTTTGAATCATGATATGTATATCTTAAACATTGACGATTTTTTAGCTAGTCTATTACGTTACCTATACATACCCAAAGAAGGAGAGACGTAACACAGGGCCACTGCTATAATGAACACCCATGTTATAAAATACATTGTTCTCCTTCAATCTATGTTCCTTTTAAAATTATCACGGTTGAAATATATGACTATTTCCTATAATGCGATGATTGCAAGGTAAAAACTGATTTTAAACATTGTGTTTGTTTATTGCTAGGGAATCAAGGGTACAAGTATTCATACAAATGCCATGGTCATTGTCATGCAGATATTAAAATAGAATTGATAGAATGTTAATTATCACATTGCATTTGATAAATACCTGAAACTAGAGCATTTTCAAATGTTATATTTGCTTAGCTGTGAATGTTTTTGTTTTAAGTTTCATGAGCAGAGCGATGTATAATGTTAATGGGAAAATCGTGAGATATGGAATGATATGAAACTAATAAATCTTATCATACTTAGGTACAATGTTTATGCTAATCCTTGGAATGTTTTCTAATGGCCTCATATAACATTTTTACACTTATGATATGAGTTATTAACCTATTTGGGGAGGGGGCTATTTGAATTCCTTATTATTCTGATAATCAGAACATTTATTGAAGTTTACTCAAAACATAACCTCTGACAAATCTTCTAATCAGACAGAAGCCCAGTTCTGATGATCATTAATGATTTTGATGAAGGTTTTTGAATGAAGTTGTAGTTGAATGTTCTTAAATATAAACTTAGCATTATAATTTATATTATAAGACCGACCTATTCTATAAAGGTGACATAACAAATCAAAATAGTTTTTCCAATTTTATTTTATGTTTGGTCAATCATTGGATCAGTTCGTTCAAGAAAGGCAAGAGGGTTGCTGGAATAAATTGAAGTAAATGGTTCATGTTGTGCTTACATAAAAAAGATAATTAAAATTAGTAAATAAGAAAAGTCAGAATAAATCCAATAAGTATGAATGATATTATATTTTCAAGTCATTAAAGAGGGACTCAAAACTATTTTAATAAAAATGGTTAATGCCTCAGTCACATTTGCTCTACAGCTACGCCATGGCATAGGGGAGAGCGGGGTAAGACGGAATGCGGGGTGAGACGGAACAATGGATTTTTATTGAATAATTGTTTAAAAGAAGTTACTGAAGTAAACCTTTTTTTGAAAATAAAGTGATCTTTCTGTTGAACCACAATTTTCTTGTCAGCTGCAACTAATACTTTAATAAAAAGCCATCATTCCGTCTCACCCCACGTTCCATCTTACCCCGCTCACCCTTACTCCCTTGCCAGGTTTGAATTTCAATGAAAACATCATACCTTTGTAATCCAAGATGAGGGTTATGGTGGCCATTGAAATGCTATGGTGACCTTGTAATTGCTATTGGTCAGAGTTAAAGAGGCACTGCTACTGTAGCAAAAGTGACTGAGCCATGAAGTAAATTGTACATTCAAGATCGGTTTTATCTCATTTATCTATTTCACTTTATTTTAAGAACTTATTTGAAAAATAGGAAGATGTCTACAGATTTAAGTTTGCTGAAGAAACCACAGTTATTTTCATTCATCTTCATATTTTAAGACACAGTTTTGAGTAGGACAAAATATTATCTTTGAAGAAGATGTATGGAGAGTTAATTGGATTCTAGCCAATTGCCAAAAATATAGGAGTGGGAGATGTGGAGGTTTCTTTAAGAATCATTGACTAAGATTTGATAAACATTCTTAAAGTGAGTAGAAGGGATTGAGATGAGATAGTAACTAATATGTTTTGAAGAAATTGAATCAATTTTATTTTTTAGATCATCGCTCCATGTCAGGCCTATTTTCTAAAGTGTGTAACAGTCCGACTTTAGTTCAGGATAAATCTCTTCATTTTTGAGGTTCTATCAAAAAGGGAACATTCCATTTTGAATTTTAATTAATTCAGGCATTTCTGTATCTAAAATCTTCAATAACTTACGTTTGTTCAGATATCCTAGTTCATGTTAAATAAATCTTTGATTTCAAGTTAAACATTGTTATGATCTTTGAAAATATTGCTTCGACCATTTTACAAGGTTTATTCCTTCAAATTCTTTGGATTTCTGAAATTCACGCAGGTGGAATTCCAAAAACAAAATAGTTTTGACATTTCTACGTTACAATGTTCTTAATCATCAAATTCTACTTGAAGTTACTATCATTAAACCGCTAACATAAACTTATACCTTACTGCAATTTTAGTAGCAGATACTACTGTAAGGATATGTGTACATATCGATTGAAAATCTGAAGAGTTCACATTCTCAGATCTGAGTTATGAAATTAAATGATTAATGATTAAAAGTTGACTGTTATTAATTGTAAACAAGTTTTGACACTCGGAGACAACTCTTCTTGTCACTACTTACTATATTATCTTTGGCTCGTAAGTTGTAAATCATGAATTACTGTATCATGTTTGTTCTCATTGAACATTTTGTTGACGACTCAAAATTTGACTACAAGTACAGTAAAACCTGTATATTCAAACACCTCTCTAATCAGAACACCTGTCACTGTAAACACTTTTTTAGTCAAATTTTGGAATTTTCCATAGACTCCCATGTTAATAAAAATTGAAATTTAAACACCTGCCAATCTGAACAATTTTAGCCCATTCCAGTTGCATTTTGATTAGACAGGTTTTCCTGTGGTACGATATTATGTATAAAAGATTTTAGAAATTCTATCAACATACAATGATTTATGTCTTTAATTTGGGCTGAGTTTTTGAAACTCTTGTTGAAACTCTTGTGGTTTGCTTAATTTATCAGTATGTCAATTGATTTACAGACTTTGTGGTTTGAATATTTGGAATGCTTTACAGATTGTAATAAATATTCTTGTTGAATTGGTTTAAATGTCATTTGTAATTGTTTTTTTTTGTTTTTTTGTTCATTGTTGTTTTTCAGATGTTGCCTCTTGTGGTTTATTTGTGTAGGTTTATTACATGTTCACTCAACATATCAAATTGTAGCCTTTACTTCTGGGACAACCCTCGTATTTGTTGACTTCACTTCTCAAAAAGAGAGCTTCATCTTCACTCTTTCAGTTTTCAATAAATCTCTGGACTCCGGATGACTTTCTCTATATATGTTTGGTCCCTCTGATGTCAATGCAATGTAAATGAACTAGCATTTAGCTCGTGATCTTTCCACTTCGCTGGTTGGTTAAGAAAAGGTCAGTGCCGTAGATTTTGGGCTGTCACGGGAGTCGTGGGGGTGGGGCTGCTTAACTGTAAGATAGTCTATACTTGGCTGAGGATAGTTTAAAACTATTACAAATCATGTTTACATGGACTCACACCAATGTAAGATATACTAAACAGCAAATCTTTTTCAAGTATATGAGGCTCATTCCGATCAATATCACATCTTTTCAAAGTATCAAGCTTTCGAGAAACAAAGTATCAAGCTTTCGAGAAAGGAACTGAAACATCTCTGGTATTCGCCAAAGCAGCGCTTCATTGCACTTAAAATGAAAATTTATGTTCCCCGCAGTGGGACAAATGTTTGAAATTTACGCACAAGATATGATATATATTCCCTGGTGTTATCTACCTAAACCCAGTCAAGTAACAGGACAGAAATCAACCGTGATCTCAAATTGATAGATTGAAAATGAGGTTCAGTTATTACAACACTTTGTGTATGATATTGGGTTGTAATGCTCACTTTTTCTAGGATTTATTTTATTTGCAAAATTAATTGACTCATTGCGGTATGATTGAACAATGGTTGTATTATGCTATAAATTTAGTTTTGTGTAAAAGTTTACAGTAAAATAGTAGTATAGAAAATGTTCCCTTTATACAGGTTTTACTGTATATCACAGTTTGATACCTCTTAGACACTATAGATGTCTTAATCGTCTTATAGAGTATATACTTGTAAAAAGAATAATAAGATTATTGAAGGTGAAACTCAGTTATCATTTACTATATATATATATTTACTATACATTACATATTTAGAGGTTATGTCACTATGACGTGAAATATGCCTGAGTTCTCCCAATATAGGCCAACCTTGGGAGGCTCTATATTTGGGCAAGAACGAAGGCATATTTCACGTCATAGTGACATAACTGATGTATTACATGCCTTTGTTCCCATGGTTACTTTGTATCAATGACGTGACGTCATGATATTATCATGGTTATTAAAGAAATCTAATATCAAAACGAGGTAAGCGGGCTATATCGGGGTAATCGGGCAATATCGGTGGATATAGCTCGCTAACTTTCCCATTGACTTCCATACAAATGCTTCGCTAGGTATGTAATACACACGTACATGAAAACAGTTTTCAATTATGATCTTAATATAAGCATAATATTACACAGTAAGTAAGTACATCCATGAAATTGATACCAACAAGATAGCATACTTTCCTACATTAAAAACCCATATATTTGAAATTCAATATGCAGAGATACAGATAGAAATAAGGATTTAAATGCATTGTTTTAGATGGATTTATTCCAAGAAAATACATAACACATCGGGCTTAATGTTCTGATCCAAGGTTATATTGACTGAGGTGTATTTTTGGCTTGAACCAAAGTGTAAACAGACATGTACTGTATATCTCCTGAATTTCTTCAGAAACCATTTATTCACGATTCCTCATTGAAAAACCTACCTGTTGTTTCAAAGTCAGTTAATGCATATCCCTGGGAGCTAACCTAACATTTAGTTTGGAGTTATTGGAGTAATGGTAAATTGCCCCTTTCCCATGCATACATTAGGGTCAGTTGCCAACTCATGCCTA